GGTATACTGACAGCTCTGGTCCAGAGTCCACACCTGGAGAAACTGCCCAGGTGCTCTCCTCACCTGCCCTTGCTGTTGAGCTGTAGACAGGTCCATGTTCCAGGTCATGCAGTGGGAAAGAGCGCAGAGGCACACTGAAAAAAAACAGAATACATTTATCAGCATGATTATTCCACTAGCGTGTGACACCCCCTACCAGACTATTAGTTATGTGAGAACAGAGACCCTGACTCCTGTTCCTCAAGGCCCACCACCATGAAGTCAGTAGATAATGTGCGACACTAGGTCATTATGTTTCACAACCCAGGGAGCTATATTAGCTTCGTTTAAGAATTGAAACAAGCTCAGTGCAGTGGCTCATCCCTGTAATCCTCGTCCTCTGGGAGGACGAGGAGGGAGGACTGCTTGAGGTCGGGAGTTCAAGACCAGCCTGAGCAAGAGCGAGACTGCCATCTCTACCAAAAATAGAAAAATTAGCCAGGTGTGGTGGTGCACACCTGTAGTCCCAGCTAGTCAGGAGATTGAGGCAGGAGGATCACTTGAGCCCAGGAGTTTGAGGCTGCAGTGAGCTATGATGATACCACTGCCCTCTACCCGGGGTGACAGAGCAAGACCTTGTCTCAAAAAAAATAAAAGAATTGAGCATCCATGGAGAATCAAAGTCACTGTTGAACTTGTGTTCATTCTTTCATGCACGCACGAGTCACGTTTGTATGGACTGACCACTCTGAGGCTGCCCTGTCTTGGCACTGGAGATGCAGAAGCTAACGAAACAAGGCCTCTGCCCTGCAGGGGCTCCTGGCCAGCCAGTGGCCCTTCCCATGACCTCACAATGAAACACAAGAATGTGTTGAGAGATGAATGAAAAAAGGCTTTTGAAGACATCATGGTAAAATCTAGTGCTATTAAAAAGCAGCTCTCTTCAGCAACCAGATCAAGGAAGCCAGCCAAAAGCTAAATCCCATCAGCTCCAACAACTTGTCTTGTTTTGAGAAAGGGTGATGATGCAGGGAAGGTGCTAAAACCCCTTCCTGGGGCGCCGGGTAGCTTGGTGGGGTGACGTCTGAAATACATTCCAAGCATTGGATGGAAGAGGCTATGTAAATGTCAAGTGAACAAGGAGAAATTGATACGGTCTTTTTCTGATGTGTGGTCTCTCAAAGAGCTACTAGAATTAATTAAACCATCTAAAAGAGGAACCAAAAAAACTGGATGGGGTGTGAATAACATTCAGAGTCAGGAGAACAGCGACTGTGCTGTCTCCTACTTTTGCCACCGACTCGTGTCTTCCACAAGTCTCTGCATCTTAGGCCCTTCGTAAAGCAGGACTGGGCTCCTCTGGTCTAGCACGGAGCTTCTCAAACTCTAACGTACACACAGATCACCTGGGTTAACACATGAACTGCCATGTGAGTTGTATTTAACTCACGCTAGTTTTGAGCCCAGGGCCTGGTGAAGCATTCGTAACTCACACGTCTCTTCACCTTGGGAGCCGCGTGAACTATTTTTCAAGTTGCATATGACTCACGCACAGAAAAAAATAAAAAATAACAAATTTTTCATTAAATTAGAAAGGATCATTTTGTTTTCGAAGATTTTATTCTATTTTCGTAAGAAAACACCGTGGCCCCAAGGAACGAAAGATTTTTTTTTCTAGTGTGGCAGTCAATGTGTTACAATGCAGATGTGACTCATAGGTCAGGGTGGGGCCTGAGAGTCTGTGTTGCTAACAAGCTCTGGAGGACACTGACGCTGTTGACCTCCCACATGGTTTGAGAACCCCCCCTCCAGCCTCCCTGAGGCCCTGCTCGTCCCACTGAAAGAGAGTCTGAGACCCTGGGTGGTTGGCATGCACGCCAGAGTTTGGGGCGCACACCTAGGTGCAGTCTAGAGCCGTTTCCCAAACCCAGCTGCACACTGGAATCACCTGGGAAGCTTAAGCTTGCACGGATTGTGACTTAAATGGTCTGGGGTTTGAGCTGGGCATCAGGATCTTTAGAAGCCGCCCTGCCCCGAGTGGTTGGTGGAGAACGGCTTCCCCGCAGTGGGCTGGGGTGGGGGTGGTGGCTGCAGGCGCAGAGTGTGGCCCTGGGCTGCCCGAGTCAGGGGAGCTGGTTGTCTCAGGGAGTCTGTTTTCCCCAGAATGTGGTGGAAAAGTATAAGAAGCACAGTTACAGTAAAAGACAAAACCAAAAAAAAAAGACTAGGGCATTCCTGGATCAATAATTTTGAGAAATGCAGGATTAAACAACCAGGTTCTTTCCTGTGAGATTCCTCTGCATGTTTACTCTGATAGTGTGTGCTATGACCTGCCAAGAGAGAAGCGAAATAACAGCCACCCTCAGTCTTCCATGACCAGGGAGCCTTCTGTCCTGGAGCTGGTCAAGGGAGCTTGTCACACAAAGCCCTGGACAGCTCCTCCTAGGGCGCAGTGCGTATACGTGCAAAATAACTAGTCTAGTGACTAACGCCAATATCGCCATCCCATCTGTATCTTCCTTGTTCTCGCCTTAGCTGCCCTCACAGTATTTGCAGCCTTTATTGCAGGATGTTTGCTGGGAGGAATGATGCAGACAGCCCCCGAAGACAGAGTAGAGAATATTCCCTTGGGCACGTCTGATTTTAGAATTGAAACAGAGGTCAGGCGTGAAGAGGGATGCGTGCTGCTCTGGCTGTGTTGGCAGCCAGGGGACGGCATTCGGAGGGTGCCTGGGACACACGGTGCCAGCAGGCCACGGCTAAGGCTCCCTAAAGAGGATGTGAGAGGGGAGTTATGCGGCTGTTTGGTTGTTCCCCAACTCCCACCTTCCAGGGTTTGCAGTCTTTCCCGAAGGGTGGGCAGGGAAGACTCCTGGAGTTAGATCTTCCTGGGAAGTCATCTTTCTGGGGTGTGGGGTTTAGGCTGTGCCCCACCCCCCTTCAGCAGGCCTTCTCTCTGGGATGTGTCTGTCTGTCTATCTCCCTCCCTCTGGAAGATGCTAGGGGCAAGAGGGACTTGGAGGAGGAGTGAGGGACCTATTGTACCCGTCCTCACCTTCCCTAGCTAGGACCCCCCTGGGCCCCCCACGGTTGGCTAAGACCTACCAGCAATGAGATTCCGTGCTGCCTGCAACACCAGTGACTTGAAAGCAGGATGAAATGGTTTTCAAGAGCGTTGTTCACAAAGTGAAGAGAAAAGGGTCTTCCAATAACAGAGAGGTGAGAAAACAAAACAGGGAAGGAGATTAGAGTAAAACAACATAAAAGCCCAACAACTCAGGAATTGGAGATTACAGTGAGCTATGATCATGCCACTGCACTCCAGCCTGGGCAAGAGAACAAGACTCTGTCTCTTAAAAAAAATATTGTGTTTTAAAAAAAGAAAGCCAGGCATGGTGGCTCACACCTGTAATCCCAACACTTTAGGAGGCTAAGGCAGGAGGATCACCTGAGGCCAGGTGTTCGAGACCAGCCTGGTGACCAACATAGCGAGACCTTGTCTGTATAAAAAATTTTTAAATTAGCCAGGCCAAGTGGCCCATGTGCATGTAGTCCCAGCTACTTGGGAGGCTGAGGTGGTAGGATCACTTGCACTCAGAAGTTTGAGGTTAAAATGAACTATGATCACACCACTGCACTCCAGCCTGGGTGACGGAGCAAGAGCATGTCTCTAAAAAGCACAACAACGTTTTAGGAGTCAAAGCATCCAAATAAAACAAGTTACTCTAACAGGAGCAATCATGAGGTGTGTAGGCACGAGGTGTTTGTCAAAATGCAGAACAGGCTGTCTCAGTCCATTCGGGCTGCTGTAACAAAATGCCATAGACTGGTGGCTTATGAACAACAGACATTTATTCCTCACAGTTCTGGAGGCTGAGAAGTCCAAGATCAAGGAGCCAACAGATTTGGTGCCCAGTGAAGGCCTGCCTCCTGGTTTGTAGAGCCTTCTTGCTGTGTCCTCACACAGAGGAAGGGTGAGGGGGTCTCTCTGAGACCTCTTTTGTAAGGGCACTAATCCCATTCATGAGGGGTCCACCCTCATGACCTAATCACCTCCTAAAGGCCCCATCTCCTAATATCATCACCTTGGGGATGAGGATTTCAACATGTGAATTTGGGCAAGGGGGGTACAAACATTCAGACCGTAGCACAGGCTAAGAAATACATACCAAGCTCAACTTCAACCAATCTCCCCTGAAGTTCAAGCCAAATCAAATTTGGGTTCCACCCCAGCCCAGGAAGAAAACAGGACTGCCAGTTGTCCTCATTCCTGCCAGACTTCTGTTTTCACTCCAAGTTCATTAGGACCCCTCGGAGATGGATGCTATAGGGCAGGACTCTTAGAAAACCCTTGGGGAAAGAGCCCATCGTCCCAGAGTCAGCCATTCTCGAGGCACTCGGACCAAGGAGGGAGGTGGACGAGGCTATGCACCTCTCTCTGGAGAAGGGGACTGTAAGAGGCCTTTCATAATAAGTTGTCTGATCTAGTGTCTCTTCTGTGCTAAATGGTCTTTGAGTGAAATCAAGTTATTTCTAATTAGTGTAAGAATAATATGCATCAACATGTTACCCATAGTTATCTCTGGGTAAAAGCATTACAAGTGGTCTTCGTTTTCTTTGTTATGATTTTCTCTGTCTTCACATTTTTCTGTAGTGGATGCATATTTTTATGATAAGAAACATGTGAACTGTTTCTGTTTGGCTGGAGCTGGGACTGCTCCTATGAGTGGCAGAGCCACCAGGCGTGCAGGTTGGCAGGGAGCAGCTGCTATCTGGCGGGGCTCGGCTGCCTGTGGCCTCGAGGTTGTGTTCCCAGTGTGCCTGTGTCAGGTCGAGGGGTTCTCTTTCTGCCTTTAGCTCTTCATCTCCCCAAGGTCTGATATGACAGTCCCCAGGCTTGCAGGAAAACCTGCTGAGCTTGAGGGGAGGCAACCATGGGAGTGTGACAGTAAAGGACACCAAGGACAGCAGAAGGGGGTCTTTCCCTGCACCTGTAGACACGTCTCTGGTTGTGCTTTCAGGTGAGCCTCAAAGCAGGAGCTCTGAATCGACCTCTCCTCTGAGGACTGACTGCTGCTGCCACCGCCAACCTCTGTCCACTGCCCAGACCTGTCACTGTGTTGCCCCTCGGCAGGTAAGGGGAGTGGCTTATCCTGTCTAAGAGCAGGTTCTCTCTAGCGAGCAGGTGTCTTTGCCCGGAGGATGTGTCGGGGCCTGGCTGAGACTCAGCTCTCAGGACTCTTGAGGTGTGACCAGGTCCTTGCAGCATCGTTTCCTCTAGGAATTACCACTGTCCTGTCTGCCTCTCCCACCCTCCATAGCAGACGTAGGGCCCTTATAAAGCCCAATTTACCACCTAACAGTATCCTCGTGTGAGTGAACGTGCCCATCTTGGGGCAGCAATGGAAGAACACCAGGCCGTCCCTGTGGGTTGTTGGGCCTTGGCTGGGGAACCGTGCTGTGTGTGCCTGCCCGTGGGAAAAGAGATACTCTTCAGGTAAGCGTCCTTGTTCTGCCACTTGCTGTGACAAGGGGAGTTCGACGAACACCACCCCCACCCCGATCCCACAGTCTAAGCCGGTTGGGCCCTTTGGGCTCAGTGCTCTGTAGTCACTGGCAATAAAGGAGAAATGGCTCACAGCCAGCTGTGGCACTCCACCTCTGGTACGTGCCAGAATCACCTTGGGAGGCTGTAAAATACAGACATCCAGGTGTGCAGGGTCACGGCGTGGATCCCAGGTATGTGTGCTGTGAGAAACCGGATTGGCCCCCCGAAGAGAGAACATGAACACGCACACACAAAACAGCTTAAGGATCACTGATGGCAACAGGAGTGACTGCCCTGGAAGTGGAATCGGGGAGAGATGGGGGCTTCAGAGCAGAGCAGAAGAGGCAGAACAGGCTTTTCTGTCCCATGTGCCGAGGAGAGCACTTCCATCCTCATGTTAGCATCTCTTCGTTTGGTTACTGAGGGCCTCTTAGTGGGATCTGTAGTTACCTCTCCTCTCCACCTCCTTCTTGAGCAAGAATGCGGACTGAGGGGAGAGAGGGTTTTCTGTGTTGTTTTAAGATGGTCGGATGAAAAAGACATAAGTATGTTTTATATGCAAAGATGAGGGAATCCAGAGACACAGATGTTACAGAACAGAGGGGTGAGTGGCAGGGCAGCACCTTCAGAAAGGGGACCTATAAAGTGTTAGCCTTGGATAAGAAGATGCTTTCAGCTGCAGCTGCTAGTCGACCCAACAAATGCGGCCTCAACTGTGAGGAATATGTTCTCTCAATTGCAACGATCAGAAGTAGACCTTCCAGGACCCAACCAGCACAAGGCTCTGCGGCAGTGTCTCTGTGAGTCTCCTGACCCTGTCTGTGGCTGATTCTCCAGGGGTCACTATGGCTCTTGCAGCTCTGGACAAACCTCAGTCAAGGCAACCAAAAACAGGGGTTCTCCCCTCGTGCCTCAACTGGGGAGAAAAACCTTCCCTACAAGTCCCTGCAGACTTCCCCTGGTGTCCCGTTGATTAGGACAAAGTCACATGCTCTGGCCCCTCTGCAAGGGAGGCAAGAAGGTGAGCATCTGGCATTGTCAGCCTCTGGAGAGGAAGGTACGCCCTGCTGGCAGAGACAGCGAGTGTTGGAGGAGCCACTGTTGGGTGGGTCATAAGGAGGCTCTGGTGCAGAGGAGGTGAGGATGGATGTGGGCACAGAGCAGCTGTAGGTGGGGCACGGGGCATTAAGGAGGGTTCTGTTCTAATGGCCTTTCTCTGTAGGCAGAGGGGCTGAGGTCCTCTGCTAAGCATGAAAGGACAGAGGCAGTGAGGGGGTGATGAAGACTGAAACAGGAGGACAAAGGGAGGGAGAGATGATTTGGGACAAGGGATCATCTTGCCAGCTAGCCGTGAGGACCCTGCTAAGGCTGGAAAGTGAACGTCTGCCAGCCAGAGTTTTGGAGGGTCTCTCCCACAGTGCTGAGCACCCCTCGGTGTGGGTGGAGAGGGGCAGGAGTTGGATCCTTATAAAGTTGGCTTTTAGGGACAGAAGGAAGTGAGAGAAAAGCAGAGAACATGGGAGACAGTGATGGCAGCGCTGGGTTGTGTTGTTCAGGCTGAATGTGGAACTGCATGGAGCCAGGAGAGAAGGGAACATCAATAGAGGGGGTTGCAGGACGAGACTGGTCCCAAGAGCACAGCTCCTGGCTGTGGGCTGGGCATAGGAAGTCTTGGCTGGGGGTGGCTGTGGCTGGGTGGGCTGGAGGGCAGACACACATGGAGGGACTGAGGGGGGATGTGGGAGGGATGGGAGTCCTTGAGGGAAATATACTCACCTCCCACCTATCGGAGCCCCCAGAGGGTGGGCCCACCCCAAAGCTTATTTGATCTCCTGGATAAGAAAAGTAAAGCATAGCTCGGGGGACCTCTTTCACATGTTAAGCATTCAGCCAGCGTTCTCTTTCTGTGGAAAGGAGTGGAGTGTATTGAAAATGTGACCTTCTTGAAACAAAAGAAAATGTGAAAGTAAGAAGTAACAGCTGTTCCAGATGAGAAGGAATCAGCAAAAGAACTCCAGCAATAAGAAAACTCAAAGTGAAAGGACACCCACAAAAGGGAGCACCAGCTCTCCAGCAATGGATACCAACTAAGATCAGCATATTGAAATGACAGATGAAGAATTTCAAACATGGATTATAAGGAAGCTCAATGAAATGCAAAATAAAATAGAAACCCAACACAAAGACCCCACAAAAACAATGCAGAAAATGAATGAAAAATTCACTAAAGAAATTGAAATGTTAAAGGAAAATCAAACAGAACTTCTAGAAATGAAAAATTCATTCAAGGAATTACAAAACACAGTGGAAAGCCTTAACAAAAGTTTAGATCAGCCTGAAGAAAGAATCTCAGGGATTGAAGACAACACCTTTCAATTAAACAAGTAAGTTGCAGTGATAGAACACAGAAATAAGAGGAATGACCAAAGCGTACAAGAAACATGGGATTATGTAAGGAGGCCTAACACAAGAATCATATGCATCCCTGAGGGTGAAGAATAAAATACACAAGGGTTGGATAAACTGTTTGAGGATATGATGGAGGAAAATTTCCCTGGCCTTACTAGAAATCTAGATATCCAGGTACAAGAAGCTCAAAGGACTCCTGGGAGATTCATTGCAAACAGGAAGACACCATGACACATAGTTATCAGACTAGCCAAAATAAACATGAAACAGGCCCTCCTATGAGCCATAAGGCAAAAGCAGCAGGTAACTTACAAAGGAAAACCCATCAGACTAACTGCACACTTTCAACTGAGAGCTTACAAGCCAGAAGGGATTAGGGCCCCATTCCTCAGTCTTCTCAAACAGAATAATGCCCAGCCTAAAATTTTGTATCCTGAAAAACTAAGTTTCATTTATGAGGGGGAAATAAAGTCTTTCTCAGACAAGCAAACACTAAGGGAATTTGTCAAGACAACTCCTGCCCTGCAAGAAGTACTCAGAATTGCATTATTCATGCATCAGCACGATAGACACTCACCAGTGTAAAATCACCCAAGATCTAAAGGTCAAAGGCCGGATACCACAATAGCTCAAAAGAGAAAAAAAAAAAGCAACAAGTCCAGGCGCGGTGGCTCACGCCTGTAATCCTAGCACTCTGGGAGGCCGAGGTGGGCAGATCATTTGAGCTCAGGAGTTCGAGACCAGCCTGAGCAAGAGCAAGACCCCGTCTCTACTATAAAGAGAAAGAAATTAATCGGACAACTAAAAATATATAGGAAAAATTAGCCAGGCATGGTGGCGCGTGCCTGTAGTCCCAGCTACTCGGGAGGCTGAGGCAGTAGGATCACTTGAGCCCAGGAGTGTGAGGT